TTGCACATTTAAAGTATTGCAGTGTGTCAGGCCAGAAATCACGTTAGTAGAAGACAGAGCTGGATTACATCTAAGAACTGATGTGTAGCTAACAAAACTGCGTTGGAGAATTCTCTTAACTTCTTGCACCTCAGGATTTACTCGATGCTGGGTACGCTAACATAGAACTCTTACTGTTGAACGGATGTTTATATTCAGCTGCTTAATAGAATTTAAATATTTATGCAGTCAGATATTTGAATTGAGATGTTTCTAAGCCAGAGTTTCTTGTCATGAGAAGTTCTAATGTGTGTTTCTTCTACAGTCTTCAGATTTTGTTTTGTGACCAGTTGTGTTGTTTAGGAGGAACTAGACACACTGCGTTTTATTTCCACTTCAATTATGCCCATGCCATATAACCAGGGTTCTATCTTTTTTGTATTTCAATACATGTTATTAAAATAATGTACACCGCTGTCTTTTCCTCCAGTCACGTGTTTTGGTTTTATGTTTGTTTTTTTAAAATGCTATTCTCACCTAAACATAAAAGTTTTCTTATGGAAGTGAAAAACATATGCTAATTTTCTGGCATTCCTTAAAACTCAGCTTGCTTGCAAAAGTAACTGCAAAATAACCATTAGTCTTTATTTCTGGCATTTTTCTCTGCAAAACATGGACGACAGTGCCACGGTGGCTGTGTTTATACTTGTAACACAGCATGCCTAGATGCAGAATCAAAATTTCAGTTGCAACAAGATATAAAAGTGGCCTTTTAAAGATCAGTTTGACATTGCTTAATAGTTTTGGAGGTGGTTTATTTTGTTTAAAAAGCTTCCCATTTTGCTTTTCTAGTTTCCTGCTCTGTCAGCTGCCTTCCCCCTGCAATCGGAAGTCCACACTGTTTGGGATGCAGGATGAGCTCAGACTTTGTACGGTACCATCCAGTGTCGAGAATATTTCAGAATGGAAAAACTGAAAATATGCTGTAGTGCCCTGACTGTTGCAGTACAGTAAGTAAGGCCAGGGGAATCCGTTAGGTGTAATATCTGATAGGGGGAACAAACTCAGTCCATGGATCACTCACAGAAATGAAAATTAAATGTGTTTTTCAGCTTAAGGTACAGAGGGAGCAGGAGTGTGCTTCCGTGTCGCTGAACTGCCAGGGTGGAGGAGCACCTCTCAGTGCCGTCACAGCTTGCAGCGCGGAGTTCGGAACGCGTGGGAGATGCGGTCCGGCGGCGCAGTGCTTTGTTTATGCAGTTGCTTTACTCCATCCAGCAAGGTCAGGAATGTTCCTTCTCTGGGGTCTGTAAAAGTCCGCATTTGATTTGTGGATCATTGGTGGGAAAAGCGTTTTTTGTTTTTAAGACAAAATCTTTCTCTTGCTGTCGGCACATGAACTCTCCCATTGAATGATTCAGCCTGAATGCACGTCCTAGAACAGTTAACAAGACAGAGATTGTTTTTTTCAGATGTGCTAACAGCAATAATCATCACTCCCAGCAAGATTAGATCCTATGTGGAAGAACGTTTCTATCTTTGTCTTTTTTTTTTACAGGCTTTGCCTAGAATTATCTGGGGGGCGAGTATAAGTGCAGACTCCCAGAGCAAAAGGTAATGGCAGTGTTTTACATGATGAAAATGCAGTTCAGCAGAGGTACAGCACAGCATGTATGCACTAAATCCACCCCAATCTGCCACTTTTCTAGTGTGTGAAGTTAATTTGAGTCTGTTAAACGTTTTGGGCTCCTCCTGTTGTTGTACTTTCGTCTCTTTGTTTCACTTTTAGTACTGTTAAAAGTAGTGCTTGTCTTGACAGGGCATTTAATGTAAATAATTGGTCTGTTGGTGCCCTTCCTGGTGAGAAATTCACTTGCGTCCTCTTCTATAGGGAGTCAAAAGCATAACTGACAACGGTGTCCAAGTGTTAGGCAGGTGCCGCTGGTATAATGCTGCTGTTCCATCCTCGGGGAGCCTCGCAGGGCCCTGGGGGTCCCACGGCGCAGGCCCCAGAGCTCCGTGTTACCACAGTAGCCTTTCTGCAAGTCGTCACGCGCCAGTCTGCGCTAATGACAAAAATGGGGATTTTCTGAGCTCTGCTGGGATCGATGCCGTGTCAGGTCAATGTAACCAGTGCCAGTGAGGTGCTGCAAGAGCACGCACGCCTTGGGTATCCAGCAGGCCGTTGGCTGGGATGGGGGCATAACTAAAAACTCAATGATGTTATTAGGCTATCACCTTCCCTTCCTGAAGAGTGAAAACGAGTGGTGTCAGGACTGGCACTCTTCAGTATCTAGGCTGTCGTTGCTGGGAGGTTAGCGAGTTGCTTAAACCCTTTGAGCCTCCCTCAGAGCGGGCTGCCTTGCACGGCTCCAACAGCTGCTCCTTGGTCAGCCCCAAGGCTCGAGTGGTTTTCTTTCCTCCGCAGAAAGCCTCGCCATGCTTCTGAGCCCCTCACAGCACTGCTCAAACCCCTTGTCGGCGTGGCAGCATCCTAGGCTGGACCCGGGGGGCTCGCGTGGTCCGTGGGGCCCAGGGTGTTGGCAGAGGTGCTGTGGGTGCCGGTGCATGCGAGGGAGCAGCGCGCAGGAGGGATTGGCAGTGGTGAGGTGTCGGCGGCGTTGCCCAACGTGCGTTGCCTGCCTCCCCCAGCACGCCAGCACACAGCTGTCCCCACAGCCGTGCTCTCAGCCGAGGCACCGCCTGTGCCGGAGCGGCGGGACACAGCGGGAGCAGAGCTGCACTGCCGACCGGGTGCTGCCGAGGCCCGTGATCGTGCAGTCCCTGTTTCAGGAATTTCACTTCGGGAAAGCTGCGCTTTCCTTGCTGGCCAGGGAGGAGCGGCCAGGGCTTCGTAGCCTGAGCACCGCATGCCGCACCGCTGGCGCTCAGGGCGCTCGCCTCAAAGGGAGACATGCTCTCTGCCTCCCTGACAAGAGGCACCAGCTCCTGTGTCAGGTGAAGCCTCTCTGAATCCCCAGCAGTGGCGTTGCTAAGTCAGGATCAGCCTTATGGGCAGAAACACGTGCGCAGTCACACTGTGTCACTCCCTGCTCTCGTCGCTCGCCAAGGGGCCGGACAGCCTGCTCTGCGTCTCGCCGGCTTTGCCAGCGTTCACGCCGCGTGTTACACCTCCGGCGCTTTGCTGCGGCAGTGCTGTGCAGAGCGGCTGGAAAGGCTCCGTCTCGGGGAAGGGTTCCTCACCCGTGCGAGCGCTGCTGGTGCGGTGAGGCAGAAGGCAGGTGGCACTTGGAGACCCGCCAGCCAGCCTCACATGCAAGCCCTTGTGCTGAAGCATCAGACCCCTCTGCTGAACTCGGGTTCAGGCTCAAGAGAGGGTCGTGAGAGTCCCGTCTACCCTGCCTAACCTCGGGGACGCTCTGGGGCAGGCAATGTCCCCATTTGTTGTCCTCACATGCTGCCTCAGGTCTGTGCACGCGGTGAAAGCAGCTGAACCGAGAACTGATGAGGCTGTTAAAAATGTGGTGGAAGTAACTTGGATGCTAAACAAGTTCTCAACAAACGAGCACTGCCCTGGGATGGCAAACGGCTTTTTTGATTCTAGATGGAGTACAAGATGTTGTCTTTCCTGTAGGCATGTCTCTGCCCGAGTGTCCCCTTTCACAGCTTGGGGGGAGGTGGTTGAGAATAGCGAGATGGTCCCTGTCTGAAGACGTCTCATTTTGCACGTGAAATCGTTATAAAATGGGGGATGAGGTAAAAACGACGACAACAACATCTGGGGGCGTCTTTGTCGTGAATTTGTCACTATAGGTGTTGCTAGCCGTGAATGCCTAACTCACCGGTGTCGCTGAGCTGGGTGGCGAGTGCAGACTGAAACAGACGGGAGCAGAGGCTTCGGGGAGGTTGTCCTAGGTTTGGTTTGGGCTTTGCCAAGACTCACCGGTGCAAGCCCCTGACGGACACGTGCTGAGCAGCAGCAGTCCTGCAGAGGTGCCTCGTGCTCCTTCGGCCTCACAGGTACGTCTGCCCGTTCGGCCAGCCGTGCGGAGCGTGGTGGTGGTGACAGCCGTGAGCTGTTTGGCCAGCCACAGCGATGCCAGGGGGGAGGTGAAGGCCCGATGCCCAGCAAGCAACCCGGGGGCACGAGCCATGGCAGTGCTTCCGGCTGCGTCCTCCAGCCTTCCCCTCTGACAGCGCAGGGCAGCCGGGGAGGTGCAGAAGGACACGTTTCTCACCAGAGACTGATCGCGGCCTGGAGACCAAACCAACATTTTATTCTCGCCGTTTCCACGCGCTCCGGAGGCTGCACCTGGTCTGCGTTAAAGCACTGTGGTCTTACTGGGCAGATCCCCCCTTCCCTGCTGCCTGAGCCTGGAGACCTTGCCCATGCACGTCCCCGGCCCAGCAGCTGTCCCCAGCCCAGGAGCCTCTTACGCTTTCGCTTGCACTTCTGCAGGCTGCTAAAAGCAGGAGGATTCGTCGACAAGAGAAAAGCCCGGGCTGTTAGATGGTTATGCTTTGCCTTTCAAGCCAGGGGTGTCTCGATTTGCCAAGGAATGCGTGGGCTCTGCTGAGCCCCTGTGACGGGACAGGAGCTGCGCTGCCTGGGTTAGTACCATGCACAGGGCGCTCGGAGCCCGCAGGAATCAACGGGAGCCTTTCCGTTTAGGCCAGTGGGCTCAGAGCCGGGCTTCTGTAACCAGCCCTTCTGCATCACCTCCTACTTCAGCCCTTGAATTTCCCTTTTACCCTTTGCAAGCAAGCTTGTATCGCAGCCTCTGCCTGCCTCCAGCCCCGTGCCCGTCCCTTGCATACAGCAGCAGGGAAGGAGCGTGAGGCAAGGCGTTCGCACACCGCATCGAGCCAGGCGGGCACTGAGCCTGAGTCGTGTGGGTGTTTCTTGTTCACAAAGCCGCAGAACTTAATTAGCTGCTTAAGTCTAGCACAAGCTTAACTCCAAGGAGCCCCTAATTGCACCCAGTCTTTTTCCCGGAGGAGCGATGCTGCTCTGCGTCCCTCCGGCGTGAGCAGGAGGTGCTCACCTGCTTCCCACCAGCTCACTCATGCTCAAAGAACTCATGGCAAGCAGCGGTGACCATGGCGATGAAGGCTACAAACTCCTGGAAGTCGCACTCTGCATCCCCATCGCTGTCCAGTGCCTCCATGACTTTGTCCACGGTCTCCTGGTCTTTGATCTCCTGAAGGGACAGAAACAGGCAGCCAAAGCTGGGGAGGATCGGTGCGAGGCCCAGATGGTAACACGTCCCCGCTTCTCCAGCGCTCGCATGCCTGAATCTCTGTTCAGAGGCATCCCGAATAGCTCGTGGCTGTTTCCCATCTCTGTTGGGGCACTGCCCTGCACCTGCAGCAGCATCTGCGCAACAGCAGCCCTCCTGAAGCGGGAATCGCAGCCACGGCTGTGCCTCTGGGAAGGGACATCCCGAGCCCTTTGGAGCAAGGCTGTCCTGCCTTCCCGGGGAAGGAAATTTCCCTGGTATCCGACCCAAACCCCAGCCCCCAGCGCAGGCTGTTGCCCTTGTCCTGCCACCCACTGCTCCTGCAGAGCTGGAGCAAAGTGTTTAATGCACTGCTGGGTGAAGAAACCCCTTCCCCTGCGCTTGCTTCCCGTGGGAGACGGAGTTAGTGGAGCCGGGCAGCTGCTCTGCGGGGCTCCCTGAGCCCAGCCAGGCGTGCTGCGCGGAAGGCAATACTTACGCCAAGGAAATGGGTCAGCTCGTTGTTAATGAGCTCCTTCAGTTCCGATTTCTTCAGCTTGTGCTTGTCTCCCTCCTTCCCTGAGTACTGGTGGAAGGCATCAATGATGGCGATCATGGCCTTCTCCAGCTCGGACATGATCGCAGCGTGGCCCTGAGGTCAGAGGGAGCGAATGGTGCGTTAGCCTGGGCAAGCTCCAGTGATGCCTTTTGCTTCGCCCCCTCCACACATCAGCAACGCCGGGCCCTGCGCTCAAAACGTCCTGCTGAGAAGCACCGCGAGCAGCTCTCGCTTCTGGGAGGAAGATCCCGAGAGACCTCCGTGAGCTCTCGAGGAGAGGGGAGCAGCAACGTGAGGAGTGCCCAGTACGGGGCTGGGACATCCCCTGCGACTGATGTGAGTTTGGCACCTTGGGTCTCTGAGTGTGCAGAGCGTAGGATAGAAGATGAGGAGAGGCTGCAAAGCTCTGGTGGCTTCCAGCAAGGGGCTCTTGCGTTTTCCCTGCGTGCCAACCTGGCTAGCAGGCGGCTTGTTGTCAGTTCACGTCGTCTTTGGCTCCTGCTGCTTAACCCGTGGCGTTGTTCTCCTTGCTTGGGAGAGGGTCAGGCAGGGGGGCTCATTTCTGTGCATGGAGCTGCAGAAAGGTTTTGCTGGCCCCTCTCGGCTCTGCCTTTCTTGCCTGCAGGCCTGTCTCCAGCTGAGCAGCCAGGGGAACCCGAGCAGGACCCAGTTTTGATGAGTGTCAGCAGGACAAAACAAGCACATCTCCTCTACCCTCCCTCCTCCCGCGCTTGATCTGGAGACCCTCTGGAGCATGTTAATCATTGGGATTGCAGCGTTTCCTTCAGATTTCGCAAACAGACAAACCAAAGAGACTCTGATGGAAAAGGGAGAGATGCAAAGCTGCCTTCCCAAGAGCTGCTGAATGCACTGACGCTGGGGGGG